TTCCCCAGTGTGAAGAACATCATTGTGTTTTTCTGTAAGATATTCTGTTTGTAAATATGTTTGTATTAATGCATATTTGTCTTTGAGTGTGTGTGTGTGTGTGTGTGTGTGTGTGTGTGTGCTGAGACAGGGGTGGTAACCATGGAGCTGACCTGGGGAGGGGTGTTTGCTGACAACATACCAGTATGTGCCTGATGTGTGTGTGTGATAACCCAGTTCAGCATAAGCAAACATCATGCATCTATTTAAAGACGGTGACTCTTCTGACCAGCTGATAGCCACAGTGGATCAGAACTTGCTGTGTTGCCTGCAGTCTTCAGGAGAAACTCTCTGTATTATCCTGCTTGAATACTTCACAGAAACTCTCAGTGGACCTTGTATTTCATGCTGTATTAAAAGGATCTTGTTCTTTTTCCTTCAGTTTTATAAGATTCTGCAAGGTTTTCTTTTAAACAGCAGCAGTTGTTCTATAGTTTTAATGATTCATGTCTGAGCAGATTTTTCACAGTCGCAAGTGAACAGGCCATGTTAAGCAACATTTCACATCAACCAGCCACCTCTCTAACATCTGTTGGGCTGCAGGCAAATGCCTTTTGTTTCTCAAATCCATTCTCCAGGACCTGATTGTACATACTGTTATTTGCATGACACTGGGTTTGTTAGGAATGTGGTTTTGTGTACATGTTTCATGTTGTTTCCTGTTTTAGTCTGTTTTCATGGGTTTGGTTTTGGGTTCCGTGTTTCTGTAAGTTTTATTTGATCTTGTCATGTTTGGGGGTTTTGTGTTTTGTAGCTTAGTTTATTCTTTTGTTTATTTGCATGTTTAAGTTTACTTAGTATCTGTCTTGTCTCTTATCTTAGTTCCTCCTGCTTTTTAGTTCTTTGCCTTGGTTCTTAGTCCTGTGCCTTAGTTCATGTCCTAGTGTTACTCCAGTGGCCTGTACTACGAAGCGGGCTTATCCAGGTAACTTCAGGAGTAACTTCGTGACATCGGGTGTAACTTCCAGGTTAACCCAAAATACTAAAGGTGGATAGGTGTTAACCGAGGTCTGTTGCCATGGCAATTTATGCTGCATCTCTAAACTGCTCCTAGCAGGTTTTGTTTGTGGTTAACTCGAGGTTACCCTGCACGTGGACTACACACCACATCTGTACTCAGTGTTAATGATGAGAAGTAGGATATTAATATACACCACTTCATAAAATGTTTAGATTTCATCTTGATTTGTTCCACTGTGGTTACAATGAAGTTCTGAACAGAATTACGTTCAGACAGCGAGCCCTGCATCCTCTGTGATTAGAGACAAATTAATTAACGGGATAGTTTCTTAGCCCATCTGTAGTCTATAATTGAATTCTCCTAAGTGTTTTTGCATATTTAGATATATTATTTTACGTGTGGAGCCAGGGTGAGGGGTAATTAAAAAAAATTGATTAAAGTAGGAAATTTACAAGAAGAATAATTGGAAATTTCCTGAAATAAATTTAATAATAAATCGAAAATCACTCTGTTTTCTTCTGAATACGCCCAATCCAAGGCAAAATCTCCAAGGTGCATGATAGTGATTGTGGGCTAAACTCAGGAGTATTTCCTCACTGCTAAATCCGATTGCAAGTTTAATATAACTTTCCAGTGCATGCATAATACACGACAGACGTGTGTGATGTTGCAGCCTTGCAGTGACTATAATGTCAGAGAATATTCAAGTTTTTTACTTGTAGATTAATCTTGGAAATTAAATTCTGTCTCGGATTATTACCCCTCCCTGCCGGCTCTTTTTTTTCTATTACAATGGACCTTGCACATTGGTAGTGTCAGGAAATTATCAATGTAAAGACAAGTTAACGGCTAAATCTAATATCGTAGCGGCCGACAAAGCCAGGGAGGCTTGTTGGCATCGCATTGAGCACATTTGTAGCCTAATTATCTTCACAGTGTTCTTATTGTATGTATTTTAAGGGCTCTGATTAAGATATAAAGGTACAACTGCACATATGGTCCATTGCAATAGAAAAAAAGGAGCCAACGGAGAGGGATAATAATCCGAGACAGAATTTAATAACCAAGATTAATCTACAAGTAAAAATTATAGTCACACATTTATGAGAGAAACTTCACTTTGCAAGGCTGCAACCTCACACACACGTCTGCCGTGTAGTAGGCTATGCATGCACTGGAAAGTTGTATTAAACTTTGCAATTGGTAATTAGCAGTGAGGAAATACTCGTGAGTTTAGCCCACAATCACTATCATGCACCTTAGAGACTTTGCCTTGGATTGAGTTTTTATGACATTAATTTCAGGGAATTTCCGATTTTTCTTCTTGTAAATTTCACACTTTAATCTTTTTTTTCTTGGTTTATTAACCCTCACCCTGGCTCCCTATTCTTTGGACAGGTAAAATAGTCTATCTAAATATGTGAAAACACTCAGGAGAATCCAGTTATAGCCTAGAGATGGGCTACATCTACGAAACTATCCCGTTAAGTAAGATTCCTCTTTAAATCACTGAGGCTGCAGGGCTCGCTCTCTGAACATAATGCTGTTGTGTTCAGAACTTCATTGCAACCGCAGTGGAACAAATCAGGATGAAATCTAAACATATTTTATGAAGCGATGCGTAGCCTATTAATATCCTGAGTACAGATGTGGTGTGTAGTCCGCGTATCAGGATAACCTCGAGATAACCACGAACAAAACCTGCTCGTAGCAGTTTAGAGATACAGCGTAAATTGCCATGGCAACAGACCTCGGGTAACACCTATCCACCTTTCGAAGTACGGGATAACCGGGAAGTTACACCCGACGTCACGAAGTTACTCCTGAAGTTACCTGGATAAGCCATGTTACCCCGCTTCGTAGTACAGGCCACAGGCCACTGGTCTGTGTACTTCTGTGTTTGTTGTTATTTTGCTCTTGTCTGCTTTGTGTTCTGTTTATCCTAAGTCTTAGTCTGTTAGGTTGTAATTTATTTGTATTAAGTTTTCTATCTGCTAAGTGTTTTGTGTTCTCTGTCTGGTGATTGTTTATTTGACAGTGTTTAGCCCTGCCTGCTTGTTTCCTCTTATGTTTAGTTTGTCTGTTGGTGTTCAGTTACAGTATGTTTCTGCATTTTGGTCTGGTCCTGTCTGTTCCCCTCGTTTGGTTTCACTTGCTTGCCTGTGTCTAATTACCTCATGTCCACCAGCTGGTCTTGGACCCGCCCTGCTCGTTACTTGGTGTTTAAATGTTGGCTTGTTCTGTTCAGTCTTTGAGATGTCTTTGTCATATGAGTGTCCTGCTGTGCTCTGTTCTCCGTATTTTTGGACAATGCTCTGTTTCTTGTATTTTGTTCCTGTTTTTTTGGATTACACTGTTCACTTTGGATTTACTCTTTGTTTGGATTACATTTGTGTGAACTCTAACCTTGAGCTCCCCTTGAAGCCTGTTTCAGTTAAATTTTTGTGTTAATAAACATTTTTTGAACTGCAACCTCCTCTCGTATTGTCTGCATTTGGGTCCACACCTAAGTTTGCACTCAGCCACCCCTGCCAGGGTTAGAATATATGCATGCATATGTCTGAAAAACATACGCATGGATGGGTGTGCCATGTTATTTTAGTTTTTTTTTTTTTTTAGAAGTAAACCAAGACAAGCTGCTAGCTGGAGGGAAAGGGGAGGTTTGTCCATTTGGCCATGACTCCATCACTGCCCTGAAGATGAGATTGGATTGCTGAATGTGTTTAATGTTTAATTCTGACACCACTAGAGCAGGTTTCTAAACACAATTAGCAAAGCTTTAATTTGTATTAAGTGTTAGGGTCATAGTTGAATAGTAATGTGGCTTATGCCTTCTTGACCATAGGTAATTTAGCATTTTGCATCCCTGAATCATTTGGAAAATGTCATTTTGATGGTGTTACGCTGATAATAGCTAGAGTAATTTTGTTAATTTTTTTGTTATTAAGTTAATAATTTGACATTATTTAAAGATTTGCTGTGACTGGTTACAGTGACTAACTGAAAGTTCCTGCAGCATATATATACTCTGCATAAGTTTTCTTGATGTGCAGTGACTATGGAAAGATCACCAGTTCAACATGGAACACGTCACCACACCAACACATGTTAGTGCGGTGACATGTAGTTCACTGTATGCATGTAATCTGTCTGCACTCATGCTTGTGAGGAGTAAATCAAGTTGCCTTTAGGCAAGACTGCCACGTTGCATAACTTCAACTGAGTTTGTGTATAACAGGTTGCTATAACAGCATCAACACTAAAGTCAATCCCCCCCAAAAATTAATAAAAACTTCCTCTTACTGCACAACGTAACTGTGTAGTATAGAACCATGTTTGTTTTTTGTTTTTTTTTACAATTAGGACAATAAATGACAATAAAGCATATTCTTTTCTGTAATTATGCATGACTATGGCTATAGCCAAGGAGTTGGAGACAATGGATTCTCACAGCTGATGCAGTGCAGGGGGGCGGTAGGCGTAAACACATGTACAAGCACACAATGAAAACTATTCTCTGGCGTCATGATTTTAATGGATTCAACAACGTTCACAGAGACGCACACTGTTTTGTATGCAAGTGTGGCTGTTTGTGCACATTTGCCTCTTGTTAGTTTTCTCGGAATAATATTTTTTATTGAATGATGGAATGCTTTATTCTGTAGGCTATATTATAACATTGACGCTGAGAAACTCAAATAAGAAAAAGAGAGGAAACGGTAGATTATTTCAGAGCACGTGCGGGGTTGTTGCCATGTGCTTGAGTCAAAAAAGTATTTCTAACTGATCCAGGAAAGGGGGTTCGGGCACACTGCAAGCCCATGTTTGTCTTTGATGGAGTGGTTACACAACATAACCCACCATTCAGCCTGTGGTTCGCCCAACCCTGATAAAATCATCTCACTGAGCTGTCGTGCACGTGCACGTGTATTAGGTGGGGATGGGTTTGTGTCTCTGTGTCTCTCCACGCCCCCCATCTTTTAAACCAGTCCTCCCATAGGTTCGGTGGAAAGGTAACAGAAAGACCGGGGGCTCTATAAAGATCCATTTTGTTCAGTCCGCCACTCCGCTCGTTTCAGTTCTTCGGTCTGTCTTGTTTCCATCAGCACACACCAAAATGCCCAGCAAGAGGAAGAAGAACAAGCGTCGCATGCGGCGGGTGGTAAGTGGCACTTCTCCCCCCCCGAACTAGGTTTCTATTCTCATCACTATCAGATCCAGAGTCTCTTGGACTTCATTTGAATATGAACCAGTTCCAAGTCAGCTAGTGGGGACCTTCTTCTCTCGGAACATTTTGGAGGAAAATTACTTTTTTGGAAGTTTGTGATGGTAGTGATTGTTTTCTTGTTCTTTTTAATTCTTAACTGTCTTCCCAAAAGAAAGAAACGTTCTTTTGTGCACGTAACCCACAGTGATTGTGCAAATGAATTATTGGTATACATATTTTGCATCAAATTAATGGAAAATCCATGTTTTGCACAAACGATCAAATACAGAAAAGTGAGAACATTTTTGTTTCCTTTTAATTGGCACATGGGTTTGTGATTCTGTTGATGTCAATGATTACTTATTTGACATTTGACATTCACACTTGTTTTTCTTGTGACGCTCACGACTCCGAGGGACTCCAGGCTCCGTGCGTAAAATCAGCAAAGATAGAAGGCTGCACAATTTGTTTTTAATTTATCGAAATCATGCAGTCATTTTTAGTAGCACGACACTTCAGATGCATCTGGCTTTGCCATGGATGCAAGAGACAAATAAACTTCTTGGCTTAACTCTCGTGCGCTCTCAGTGTACATGCGCTGGGAAAGCAAGCTAAAAGGGTCAATTCTGGGATGGTAATTTCAGGTTAATTATATTTATGTGTTCATAGTCATTAAACGTGAAAATATATCCTTCCACATTCCTAAATATAGATTCACTTAGCATGCACTATACAAATTACATAATTCAATATTCTGAAGCTGCCATGACATGATAATTGACTATTATCTCACTTTTGGCAATAATTTCTACTTCTGAACATTCAGTGCTCAAAGAGAAGAAGTGGGTGTGGCAGAGAGGGGCAGGAAGGGGAGGGATGTATAATGAGTGAGCAAGTAGCACAGAAGCTCCAATTTCTCAGAGGGCAAAGGTTACTCCATCACCAAACACTGTTTTCTGTAATTTCTTTCCCAATCATAATTGTCACCCTGCTTTATTATAATTTCTAATTTAAAATTGATTACTTACTTCACCACTAAAGGCTGACTTGAAGCCTGGTCCTCCAGCTCTGGGAAGACTTCTAGGTATGGAGTTTATGGCATTGTTCCACAGCCCCTCCTGCCTCTCGCTGGCTGGCCAGTCCATGACTCTCAGCACCACACAACTGTATTTGGTAGTGTGTTGACTGGAGGAATGTCTTGCATTAGTTTTGCCAGATTGGAGTCTGCACAATCTCTGATTCTGAGTCTGCCAGTGACACACAGATAAAAATGGGCCTAGGAGTCACTTACAGCTCTGTGTTATCACCAATTCCCTCAGAGACATCAGAGCAGAGAGGGGAAGGAGCAGCTGGACACTTGAAGTCGTCAAGCTGAGGGCTCCTCTTTGGCCACGCATGCCTTTGTATGTAAGCACCCAAACTTTGATAAAAAGAATTTCTCCCCAAGGGTGGCTTGGCCTCCTTAATACAGCCCGAGGAACACAAGGAATTGCTTTGATTAATTGAACTTGTATATTACTCTGTGGTAGTGAGGTGTGGAGTTTTAGAAAGCAAGTTGTATGCAGGCAAAGATAAGGAAGAGGTTGTTTTGACGGTGGCTAGGTGGATGAGTGTAGACATGTGCACTTACACACTCATGCCTTGTTGGCATACAGCATTGGTCTAGCACTGTGAATGCCTAACCGGCAGTGGGCCTAACAAAAGCATTCTTGTCAAGTGATTGTAACCTGATTATAACCTGATTATAATGTGATTATGCCCACTGTCTGGCCCGTGGGGCACCCATCAGTGCTGCTGACTCGCACGGTTTCCATTCCCGCTTCACCAGACCTGTCAGGACCACTCCGATTCAACTAATTAGCTCCCATTATCTAACTAGCTTTGCTGGGCCCATTCCCAGTTACCCAGCCCCTCCCTCCAGGAGTCCGGGCTCCTAAAACCTCCATTAAAGCCTGAGGGGATTTTGTCCACTGCTGAAAAACATGTTGGATGTGGCTGGGATGGCATGTCTGGTATTCCTGCAGACAGAAATGTGCTAGAATGAAACTTAGTCTGACAACAACATCAGTGCCAGAACGCCTCTGTAGCATTCAAACCCTTAAACTCCCATTTGTCACTTACGTTTGTTTATGCCACACTAAGTACTGAAGTGGAATCTTGTTGAATAAAGTTTCACACTCTATTCAGCTTTCACACTACAAGGATCAGTAGTTTGAGCTAAAAAAATTTGTTAAGGGTAAATTAAATTCAAATTAATTGTACATTTTCCGCAACAGAATGAGTTATAACTGCAGATATATCATGAAAAGAAAAATAAATAATCACATGTAATGACAACAACCATTAACTTATATCTTTTCTCTCTTGCAGCAGGCCCAGAGGAGAGCCCTTGAAGAGCAACATTCAGCGAATCCGCCAGTCAAAACGAGCCCCGGGATTGCAGTGAGTGCGCCCCCTGCTGCAGCCCCAAAGAAAGCTAAAACTCCAGCTCCAGCTCCAAAAAAGATCCCAGAGGCCGTTCGCATTGCTGTCCCCGTTGTGGAGACCCCCAGAGTAGAACCAAAACCAGCTGTGATAAAACCAGAACCAGTTGTGAAAGAACCAGAACCAGTTGTGAAAGAACCAGAACCAGTGGTGATAGAACCAGAACCAGTTGTGAAAGAACCAGAACCAGTGGTGATAGAACCAGAACCAGTTGTGAAAGAACCAGTCGCAGAGCCCGTCCCAGTTGAGGTAGAGGTGCCACAGTCTTTGCTACAGCCTGAGGCTGTGGTGTTGGAACAGACTTCAGCTGAAGTTGAGGTGGAAGTCCCAGCCCGGGTCACTGAAGAAGCACCGGTCATTGAGACTCCACCAGTGGAGCCTTCAGTTGTTGACGCTGCGATAGTGCAGGTGGATCAACCTATCATTCCTGAAACAGAACCAGTAACAGAGGTAAGAACGGCCTTGTTTCATACATGTGTGGATGTTGGAGACAGACATTTGACTGGGTAATAAAAACTTAAATTGACTTTCTTAACCAGTGGCGTCCACAGTTAAACAGTACATTTTCAAATTGTCAGAAAATATCCCCATCGGGTTTCTATTAGAACATCAGTTTTCTCTGCAGGTCTGGTGTGATGGCTCCCCAAAGGCAATTTTGTGTAGACTATAGCAGGACAATAGGGCATGATAAGGCATGGTAATTTCCCTGCCAATTATAAGGAAACCTGGTCTTGAAAATTTGCTTTAGATTATTTGATGTCTCCACTAGCAGAGATCCCAGAGTGTGCCTTTTTACTTTTTATGACATCTCACCAAGTTGGTTCCTTCTTGGAACCAACTTGGTGAGATGCAATGAGCCACATAGGGTTCAGCATGTACCTTCATTAAAAGTGCATGCAGTTGCCAGCAATGGGTATTTCTTTATCAGGTTAGATGAAGTAGGTTCCAATGTGCATACGGTTTGCTGGAAAGACACTTTTCACGTGCGGTTTCTTAAAAAGCATGCAAATATTACGTCTTTAAGTTTGAGTTTTGTCGGTGACCATTTTAGATGCTGTTTGGTCAAATGGTATGTGCTGTGGCTGGGTCCTTGTGGGAGAAGGGAGGCGGAATTGGTGGGGGGTGGCGAGCAGAGGGAACAACGTGTTCCATTTAGCAAAGAGGTGGAAAGTTGAGTGATTGTAGCCTACATCAGTGGGAGACTGGGCAGAGCCTTTTCAACAGTCATTATACATAATCACACACATTAAGACATGCCTGTGTCACTGAGCACACGTCTCTGTTGAATTGTTACTACTTCTGGATAAGAAGCAAAATTGGCGGGATAGGATAGATAGCAGATGTAGTTATCGCCATGACATTTCTTCATTTTATTGTGCCACAAGAAGAGGTTGTCCAATGTAATGTGCTATACTGGATAATAAATTGTTTTTGTAATATATGCTATCTGTGAAGTTGGTTTTCAGTTATGAAGGTAATGAAATTAGTGAAAAAGCGTGTTGTATTTAAATAAGGCTTTTGGTTATTTGCACAGTTGTAGCTTTTACACATTCTCTATATCTATACTGCATTCTTACTATATATCATTAATTAAATGCCTATAAAGTTTTTGACCTCCAAACCTATACATTTAGAAAAAAATATGGTCACATAGTCTTTGTTTCATGCAGCCATCACGTAGGCACTTTGGGAACAGAATGTTCTGTTTCAGTCGGTAGACGGCAGGCTACATGCAGACTTACACACAAGCTGCACATACGTGTACATCTGTGTGCGTACACCCTAGCAAATGCACACACATGTACACACACACGTGAACAAACACACACACACACACACACACAAACTAACTAAAGTTATGGTCTTCGCTCCCGGTAGCCATGACAGCATATGGAGCATGCTGCTTTTACTCACGGGTGTTAGCGTGCACGTGCGTGCATGAGGATGGGTTTACATTTACATTTAAACTTATATTGTTGTACCCACTGAGGTTTACAGGACCAATGAAGACGTTTCTATTGGAGATGTCCATCACTGTATAGTTATTGTAGTTATAGCTGTGGCAGTATCCACCTCCTTACCTACCTCCCTCCCTCTCTCCCCCCACCACGCCACCCCTCTTTTCCTCCCTTCTTGCTTGGCTTCTTCTCTGCTCCTTCACTGCTTGCAGATGTGCAAGATTCAGCGCAGACACTCTTGCAAAACTGAAAATTAGTCAGTGCTGGCTGTAACTGCAGACACATACAGCAGCACGTTAAATATATGGTGCAGGTACTATTTTACTTGTTCTGCTTTATGAACATGACTTTGTGAAACTTTACTCACAGACAAATTGCGCACTTGCGGCCAAGGACCTGCAAGAAAGTGTACAGTCTGTGACACCATGCGTCAGGCTAGAGCTGGACATCACTGGGTCAGTTGATCAGTAGATCATAGAATCAGAGCATTTATAAATGGGACTCGTATTCAGCTGGCTTTGGGACCAAAGAGAGGTGGCCCCTCCGCTTCTGGTTGTCACCACGGAGACTCAGGTGAGTATAAACCCACAACCCAATCTACAGACCTGCTGAGTGTTTCATTTTTCTGTGGCTTGAAGCGACAGTGGGTGTGGCTTCTCCTGAAGCTGAACATTTTGTACCAGCTGGCTCTGTCTGTGCTCCTGCAGCCATCCTCTACTCCCCCTTCAATCCCTCACCCCTCTCTCCTTGTAAATTTAAACTCCCTCACCACCCTTCCGTCCCTCCCACCACTTGTTCCTCGCTGTCTCTCCTTTCTCCCTCCTTCCCCCTCATCTGATATCACCCTTTCACTGTTCCCTTCACCCCTCTTCTCCCTCCTTTCCTTATTCTTCCATCCTCCATCGCCCCTCTTCCCCTCCGGTCCTATGGCAGCCTATGGGCCCTTTTTTAGATTGTCTGCTCAGCACAAGCACTCATCCACGTTTTTTTTCCCATTGGATATTTGCTGGAAGTACTGGGAGAAGACAGGATTGGGGGAGATGGGATATTGAGTTCTGTGTTCATCTGCAAGTGTGTAGTTGTTAGTACTTTGATATTTGGTGTGTTGAAGAGGGTTTTGTGCCCCCCCCCAGTGTTCGGCCCTCTGCAGCTCATGTGCACATGCAGACTACCCTGCCCCACACACACGTTTCCTGGCAACTTTTAGGGGTCTGTTTTCAGAGACACTAGAGCTTTGTTAGCTGAACCATACACTTTTTGCAAACTTACTTGAACTTACCAAAATCAGAGTGTTTATGAGACCATCAAGTTGGTTGTAACACAGATCTTGCATCGCAGGTACATTATGTCTTTGTTTATGGATTAACATGTTCTGCGTAAAAGCTGTCCATTTCCAGATCAGCTTTGATTTGTTGCTGAATTTGGGGAGGCAGGATCTGTGTGCAGTTCAGTTTGGTACATAGTGTTCTACTCACAAACTGGAGGAGGTGTGTACACTTTATGGATGTTCCTGTCAAGCAAAGGAAGGTGTATAGTCCAACTCCATCTTCTCTCCCCTATACCATCCCCCCACCCCCTCCCTGCGTGCACCAGACTTGTCCTACATTGAAGACATGCTGTACAAGACAGTCTAAATAATTTACTGTCAGACTATGAAGATTTACAATATTTATGTGCTGCTCCCCTGTGATTGCCACTATGGCTCAACATACTTGGCTGCACAATGGGTGCTGCCATTGGCTATTTAGGGTACTGCCAACTGTTCCATTTTCTGAGCATATGTGTCTAGAAAGTAAGTATTTCTATGAGTTAAATAGCAAAGAAGGTGGAAACGCACCGCTGACTAAAGAATATCTTCCCTTGTTCTGGTAAAGATTCAGTGTCTTGCTGAGGGACTGTTTCTATAAATAAATAAAGATGAAATAAAAGATGTTGGAGTTTTAAATTTGAGTGGATTTATGGAGTAAATTCCTGATGACGAAGGGGGCGAGAAATGGGCGTACCAGCTTCTCATTATGCAATTGGTTGTAACAACATTCCTGTAGGATATATAATGTTCCCCCTCTTCTCCTGAACTACAGCTACACTCACACACAAAACATACTGTTACGAGGAGTGTGTGCATATGTTGTGTATGTTGGTAGACCGCCAGTGAAAATGTATGATCCGAAAACAAAATAAATTTGGCAAACTTTTTTGGACACAGTAAAACCTGCTTAGACTCTCACTAGGTTTTCTTTGTTAAATTCCTTAAGGCCATACCAGCTACAGTTTGGCTGACAAAATGTTGTGTAGAAGATCATTTTGCTCTGGGCACATTTTTAGGACCTGTGTGCTCCTCCCATAGCTTACCATTTTTTTTTCTTTCCACCATCTCTGGCCTTTTGTATTGGATTCCATATATATGAATAAGCTTTCTCTCTTTTTCCTTCATAGGTCGTACCCCCAGCTGAGGCTCCAGTGGCGGCTCCTGCTGAGATTAAGGTAAAACAAACCTGCATGTTACATTCATACACACACTCAACCCCTTTTCTGTCCCCCTAGACTGAACTTGCTCGGGCAGTATATCTCAGAAGCGTGAACGAGTACGAGTACTTCAACATGATGCATTGCAAATGAGACCTGCTTTGGTTTTTGAACAGCTTATTTCAGAAACCACTTTAAATGTCTTGAAGAGGGGTCAGCAGTAGCGTACAAGTTTGTAGAGCAGTGTTGTCGTTGGAGATTTGCTGGTTTCATTTCAGAACTGTCTGAAAAATGTTTCTATCAAAGGAAAACAATTCAACATGAACAATATGAAAAAAACAAATAAAAATCACTAGTCTGTTTGATTACAACCTTTACAACCTTTTTATAAAGCATAATAGAGTACATTCATTGAGCACAAAAACCTGTCTGTAATGCAACACATTTCAGTGTATTTGGTGGTCCTGCTCATATGTTACATGTTGCGCGCAGTTGTGCAAAAGACGGCATCTGAGTAACTCAGAGTTTCCACTCATGTTTTACAAGTTTATAACAGCAGTAACTGGACAAGAGAACCCTTTCAATGGAAAGGTGCTATGTTTCTGTGAATTAAGGTTCACACCTTGCATAACAACCACACTTTGCCTCAGGTCTCTTTCTCTTGCATGACAGAGTGATCCAATCATAACTGCTCCAAATGTTTTCAGGGAGAACACCTAAGAAACATCGGGCCTTGTGTTCAAATTGTATGTTTTATTATAAAGGATAAAAACATTTTTAAGGATCTGTAAACAATTATTCACATAAAAAACTGATGTTCATTATTGACCAAAAGAAGAATCTAAATAACCTTGCAATTTAGAAACCAGTCGTCATAAACAGCTAGGTACGATAAGTTAAATTTCATCATATTATTACTTACCTACACTGTAGGTTGTAGTCAGTGCAGAAAAATTCCAACACTCAGATATTTGCTGTTAAAGTTTGTCTAACAGGTAAACAGCCAGTGTCTTATTGTTGTTCTATTCACCCATCTATTGATCAATTTATCCATTTGCTAAAGTATTTTGTTTAACTTTGGCCAGATTGAGACAGAAGATACTACAGTCAAAGCCACAGAGACAGAACAGGTAAGACCGATGATCTTTATCGCATCATGGTTTGACATTATAGTTATATAGTTGTGTAAATATACAGTTGAATCGTAAACTCTGCAGTCTTAATCATCCATGCCCATGCTCAAAAATGGTTTATCAAATATTTATTTTCTATTTGTTCCCTTGTGGCATGTTGCATGCTTTCTTAATGTGTGCCGTGTTGATTTTGCATGTGCAGACGCATAATGTCTGCGAGCCACAGTCTGAGGTGGAGGCTGAGGCCTTGGCAGAAGAAGACACAGCCCTTGAGGCTGAGGTGGAAGTGGCCATCACAGAAGCCACTGTAGAACCAGTGGTAGAGGCACTTACGACTGACGAAATTTCTGCTGAAGCAGAACCCGCTGCAGTCGAGGTGGTTACAAAAACAGTGGTGGAATCAGTGGAGGAGGTTATCGCAGAGATACCTGAGCTGGAACAGGTGATTGAAGCTGTTTTCAGTCCTGCAGCCCCAGAAGAAGATGACGCTGAAATAGAAGTTTTGACTGAAGATGTACCTGACGGCCCTGCTGAGCCTGTTACAATGACAGAGGTGCCACATTGACAAAAACATGTTCCTTTTCTTTCTTGAACTCTTAATCTTCTTCCAAGAACACAACATGATACAGAAGTGCATGTTTTACTTATTTACGTATGTGCCTTGGAACAGTTATTGTGGAAGTCCTTATCACTCATTTATCATTCAGTGGTGTTGCTGTACATGATTTCCTGAATATCTATCAAACAAAAGATGGGGATAGCTATTTTCTAACAGCTGACAAAAGACTTGAGTTTGATTTTTATTTCTTTGGTTAGGTTATTAAGCAGGTTGTCAAAAGTAGAACTTCCTCAATGGCCTCATTGGTTTTCTGGCATGTTTCTTACTTTGCATACTTTTTTTCAAAATGTAACTTAACAGCAAAGACTAATGAAATACTGTGCCCTACTATTTGTTTCGTGTACATCAGGATGCCCCTGCCCAAGCTGTGGAAATCCCAGTGGTGAGTATATATTTTCTATTGTGTTTTTCCCCATCCAGAAATCCATTAATAACATTTATAACAAAGTTTATATATTAGCTTCCTCTTGCTAAAGCCTTTATTTTGCAGCATTTGAGTAACAGGTTTTCCTTTAAATGGCAATATTTCATAAGTAGAAGTTTGACTTTGGCCACAGCTGCGCGTGTTGTCCTAAATTTTGACATGGAGGTATCTGCCGTCTCACCAGGTGCCAGTCACCATCCCAGAGGCTCCGGTAGAAGAGGCTGAAGCCCCCGTAACTGAAGTCATTGAGGTAAAACCTAAACAATTTCAATCAACATATTATGTGACAATATTAGATGACTGCAATCTAGATATGGATCACCCTGAAATCAAATGTTTATGGGTTATGCTATTAATAAATCATGTTCTTAAAGGTAGCCAGATATTTCTTTTTTTACCCACATTTAATTTGATACAAAATTCAATATCTGTCTTAAATTATTGATTGATGCCAATGATTCAGTTGACATTTTCTCCTGGGATGCTATTAATTCCCCTCATTGCATGTGTTGGTTTGTGGAAATCCTTTCTTATCTTTCTTGTTCCCCCCTTCTCTCTTTTCAGGCACCTGCCACCCAGGAGATTGCAGAGAGCCTGGTTGATGACTTTGTTGTCACAGAATCTGCCTCAGCATTGGATGTTGCCATTGCTGTGTCTGCTGCTGTCGAGCCGGTAAGAAGTACACAAAGAGGAATTCACCATTAGACACTACTACAATTTTTACAGTTAATACGCAACATCCTTTAAGTTCCAAGAAAGTTGGCATTTCATTGGCTTCCAGCCTCATGTTATCAAAATGGTACCAGTTAAAACAACAAAGTTAACTTGAGCTGTTGCTTAAGGCCCCATGGCCACCAGAGGGCCACAAAACACATTTCATTGTGCACATCTGTACATAATATGACTTTAAAAGATTCTGCTGTATACATTCAATTTAATCAATAGCTTGTTTATTACAAAATCAATGTTAAAGCAATTAACCACATTAAATTACAGTTTGATGTGTTACATTAGGATACATCACATTCCTAATGGATGCTGAGGTGGAACACAGTGTGATGAGGTACCATTTTAGTGTGCAGGTTACAGTGAAGCCCAATGCATTTTTATTATTAAATTTTGACATAAATCTGACTAAAATGTTGCTGCAACCTTATTAAGATGCAAAGACCAATGTGTATTGCACATAATCATTTGCACAAATTTTATGTTTAGCTTTTGTTTTAACAGCCACCTCTCTCTGCTTACTATGTTAAGGAAATTGTGGAAATGAGTGACACCCTCAACACCCAGTCAGAATCTGTGGATGTGACGCCCGCTGAGCCTGACCCTGCTGCTTCCCCTGCAGAGGAAATTGTCATTGTGAGTTACTATCAGGATTTAACCATTTTAGACACTAACTGAAATCTGGTACATTGTATTGTGAAAATGTTTAATCATAGCTTGACACTTCATTTGGTATAGCTTTGTATATGATGCATGTAATTAAAAACCACCATTTGAAGAAATCTTCCCGTGTTACTTCCCTCATTTATTCTGTATATCCAAAGAGAATATGGAGCTTTCTTCTCTGTTGACCACCTACCCTGTCTCCTAACTGCGTCATCTCTCCCCTCCCTTCAATTTCAGGATGCCACTGCTGACCAGACATTTACGGATGTGCTGTCAGAAGAGCCTAAGTCAGAAATCTGTGACATGCCGTGTCAGATGCAGCTCGCTGTCGAGTCTGCACAGATCAGCTCAATGGTAGGCACAGCTTAAAAAAACTTTCCTTGAAGAATGGTCCCAAATACACGTTCCAGGTGACACGTACAGATTAGTGTTTGTTCATTTTACGCAGATTTGTGGATGTATCAATATTGGGGATTTGCAGTGTACTCACTTGCTCTAATGTCTTATTTTCTGCTCAGGAGATGTCAGTTGAGGCATCGCTAAATGGACACATTGTTCCACAGGTCTCCATCGAGGGCTAGATACGATCATACAGCTTAGAAGACCTTTTTTGTCTATTGTAAGTTTCTCACAATATTGAATCAGTCCTTTATCACAAAGATTGTTTACCTCTTTAAAAATAACTCACTTTCTACTAGCTGCCACTAACAAGGCTCCTGTCTGATTCTTTCTCTCTTTCAGATTCCCCTTTGGTCATTTGGAGGGCTTGAGGCTTTACAGGGAGTCAACCAGCAACCAGAACCACCAGGAAATTGAAGGGACATCCACACTTGAAGTGCCTTTCTGGCCCTTGTTCCTGTCAAAACACCAAACGAAATGTCAACATGCCATAAACCGATGCATTCAAGGCAGCACGACAGACTGTTGTCGTAAGTGTGCAGAAATGGAAATAAACATTTTGTGGCTCCTGTATTTCTCCCCAAAAGTATGTACAGTAGCAGTGGAAGCAGAAGTTCTTGAGAGATGGAGATTCATAAACCAAGATAAATGGCAATGATGATATTTCTTAGCATGTTCCCACCTCTTCAGAATATCTTCTTCTGTACTACATACATTCAATACATGTGAATACTGTAACATTGATGAATGTGGCTATAGTTTGTACTTGAGCCTGTGGTTATAAGGGGGTGGGGGGCAACTCGTTCTGCTTTTTAGTTTTTCACATTTCACAAATCACAGATTTTGTTTGTCAGCCCTTTTTTACCCTCAAAGACACATCTACAAACTTCCCCCTATAGCTCCAGTTCTCCCCTCTGCCTAAATGAAATGCCAATGCTAAGGTTAGTACGGTGCCAAAACACATCCTAAAGCTAGAGTTTTAGACTTTATGGCCACTGGAGGATGACAGTTTGAGGGGATGAGCTGAGGTGTCATTTTCTGTTGCTGTTGTTTCCCACACTTTTCTGTTTTTTTAAAGTCATTTTGTATAGACCACATGATGTGTTACAGTTTTATATTCAAGGTTTGTGCTCTGGAAAGGAAATGTGATTTGGTGATGGGGATCTCTGTTGTTGGGCTGATGTGATCCACTTTTGAAATAAAGCTGTACCTCATTGTGATGCAAGAGTACTTGTTTTACTTTCTATACACTATTTCACTCACATAAAATACACAGATGGGAGAAACAGTCTGAAATACATCAATGTTGGACTGGGGCTGAGGGAAATACATAAATGATTATTTATGACTTATAATTTAGTAACATCCAGGTCAGTCCTGCACTGGCCTTAACAATTTTTTGATAGCTTTCAAAGTCACTCTTTAAAATGATCACTAATAATTGTAGCTTAAGGGGCCAAAAAATAAACTGGCGTAAATCATTAAAGTAATCAATACTTACAGGTCAGAAACTGTTATGAAGATGATTAAAGCCAGGACAATGAGATACATGGAAATGATACCAAAGTTGAGTGAAGCCACGGTCAATCTTCAAAATAACAACAATAAAACAGATCAAAAGTTGATTTTAATTAATTTGTTTTTGCACTGAAATCTACATTCATATTAGTATGATGTCATTTGGTACAGTAAACACTGCTTATGTGTGGTTTCACAAACCCTCCTCTTTATACTACAACCATACTGTCAAATGGAATATGAAGCATCAGTTCATTTTGTTTTTTTTCTTACCTAGGCTTACTGGCCCCTCGTGTGGGAATTTTTAACAAAATGCATAACGGAAGCAACAACTTCAGTTCTGGCTTAAGAGGGGAACAAAAAACAGTAACAACAAAAATACAGACTGAACACACAACTGATAAACACATACCGCTTAACAACAGAGAGGATATATATTTGTAAAAAGCACATTCGTATTAATAATAGATGCTTTGGAATGAAAACAGCAGCAAAGAGGCTCACTGTGATCAACCACCTGTCCCCACTTGCACTCAGCACATTCCACTTATATATATTATCTGACGTTTTTTCACTTGTGCCATTAATATGCATGAATACATGTCATTATACCCCCCCCCCCAAAAAAAAACAACAACATAATAATAAATAAGAAAACAGGTGATTTGATTGGTCCATGAGGTAAAATGTGAAATAAAAAATAAAAGGAGAAAAAAAGAAGAAGCAACAGTTGGAAAGATTTTTGAAAAGACAAAACATTCACAAAAGCAAGTGTGGCAGAGGCTAAAACAAAATTAAATGAAGAAAGAAAAGATTTTCATTGCAGACAAGAAAGCATCATGTCCAACAAGGTTTTATTATCTTCCCTCAGAAAGAAACACACAGACGCACACACTCACAACCTTTCATACAGTCAATCATGAACCTCAATAACAAATCAATTGCCCAGGCTGTAATGTTAACAAAGCCACTTGATGGATAATATTTGTATATTTACACTGAAGTGATGATAAACCCACATGTTCAAAGCTCAGACTGAACCCAAAAAATACGAGAAAGAGTAAAACCAAGAGCAACGAGATTAAATCACGATTTTCTCTTTTGATCCCTTCACTTTTTGATCTCCTCCTATGCACCGACCAAAAAAAAAACAACAAAAAAACAAAAGAACAAAAATGTGGGCAGGGAAGTGGCTTACAGAGACAAAGAGAGGGGTTAATAATGATAGTGATGATGGAGATGCTCAAAAGCAATGAACATGGTAGGCATGTAGTCTGTCACACGCATAATGAGGCAGGCAGACTCTTCTCCATTTCTGCTACAAGGAGAAGAGCACTTCAATAAAAGAGCCCCCCACCCCTCTTCCGTTTGGACTATCCTGGTTTGAAATCAAACACACCTGTTTAGAGGTTTGGTGTGGGAGAGCATGCAGTTAGCTACACAGTATAGCCTGAGTGGGTGGAATTAAAAGAGCACTTCAAAACTGCCCGCTTGGGTTTATATGGGGCCCCAAAACAAGTTCAGTTCAGCTCCTGTGTCAGAAGTTAAGAGGTTTAGGATGCAGGTTTTTACCATCGATCTGAAGAGTGTCTGTAGCAGTAACTGTAATGGTAGAAGCAGCACTAGTAGTGTTCAGCAGGCGACAGTCTTGTCTTTCTGGAGAGGAAATGGCTCAAAAACAAACCCACCCAAGAGTTGATCCCAAATGGTTCATCAGTAGCACTTCCAAAAATATTAATGAGCATTAGCAACAGATTTACATTGTTTTGAAATCCTGGGAGATTTTAATCCTGCTTCTGCATTAGAACAGGAGGGTTTTTTTTTTTCATTGGTTGCTGTGGCTGGTATGTTCTAAGATTCATCTATTGATCATTGATATTTTTTGAGGCAACTAAGATTAAAAACGTTTCCTTCAAGTGATGTTTTTCAAACTATCATGTTGGCTGGCATGCAGAAACATTCACTGCCATTTTTTTTTTAACCAGTCAGCTAAGTTACTGGTTGTTTGCAAAAGTGCCAGGCACAAATGGCAAACTTACCAGCCACAGCCAAAAATTACCAGCAATTTATTAGTGTAGGCCCATTACATCTATCAGAATACCAGTGCCATGATAATCAGTTTGGTCATTTTAGAAGTCCTGGTATTATCGGATTTCTTTTCCTTTTTGTCTTCGTCGTGCGATTGTCATCCATTCCTCCCTCCCGATGTTTGCAGCACCACTCAGGCAGTCGTACAGGTAGGCAGTGAGTTTAAGAACCATCACAATGTTTTTTTTAAACTGGCTGTTTATGCACCAGTGAGAAAATCTTCCCTACAGCCAGACATGAGGCAAAAGGTCATTTCCTTGACTGCAGAAACAAAGGAAAGTAAAGAATGACAAGGGAGTGAAGGGAATGGTAGAGAGGACACCTCTCAGAGGCTCTGCACCCCCAAGGCCCAATGTGGGCTCAGTCCTGTCCAATCTGGCCCAGTCTAACCCTTGCTGGGTTAGCCTAAATCAAATCCAGTCAATTCCAGTCTAGTCTGGTCTAGCTGGGATCCAGACTAATGTTTTAGAAGAGTGATTTGAATCCCTGGTTCTCAAACTCTGACCAGGCGTCATTTAATTCCATGAAGATCATCTTAGCATAATGTTCATAGGGCTGGCCTGTTGCCTGCAGAGAGACCATACATTTGCGAATTAATATAGAATAGTAAAATTGAGAGGTGAAATATTTGTAAATAATGCTGAAAATATATTTTACAGTAATACTTTTAACAGCAAGAGGATGTTTGTTTTTAGTTCTGACTTTAGTTCTGACTTGGCCAAGTGCATAAGCAACAGGCTATTACTGTACCTTATCTGGATGGACAATCAGCACAGCCTTCCTGTAGTACTTCTTCACCTGGTCAGGTGTCACCAGGTCAGCCATGCCCACAGGCTTCCAGCGGGTTTCGCCTTCCCACAGCACCGTGTTCAGAGTTGACAGCAGCGCTCGAATGTTTCGCTCCTTCCCTTCGATCCAGTCCAAGATCTGCAGCATGACAATAAAACAAACCATTACTATTTTTAGCAAAACACAAGGAAAAAAACTCATTCACTACTTTGTAAGGCAAAGCTGTGGGTGTTACCTGCCCAAACATGTCATGTTGGCAATTACACGCATTAACATGCTGCCCAGTACAACCACCGGGGATTAAGGACTTGGCTCAAGGACACCTCAGTGGGGGTAATGTGGGGAAGGCAAACACTACTCTTTCACTTTTCCCAACCAAATGTATCCTGTTAAATCTAAAGATCGAACCGGTGACTAGGGGTGGGAATCACCAGAGGCCCCACAAAACGATATTAACACGATACTTATGTCACGATACAATAATATTGCGATTTTAAACATATTACAATATTTGATCTTTTTCCGAACTTCAAATTGTGTCCCCAAAGGAAAATTCTTTTTCTAGTGGACTGAAAAAGCAATTTTATTAGTGCCAAAAAACAAACTTCTCATGTACAATTTATATAATAAAAGATCGATACTTGATGTTCGTGTTACGATACGATATTGCCTATACTATGCTGTATCGACTTTTTCCCCCCACCCCTACCGGTGACCCTCCAGTCAAAAGCAATATTATTATATACTAATTTCATCCACTCAGTAATTTGTTTCAAATAGTGTGCGTGTTCTTCGGTGGGTAATATGTTGTTTACTTATGTATTTAGTTTGTTACCTGTAATTTAAGTGGATCGATGTCTTTTGTGATCTCCTGTCTCCTCATTTCAGCGATGGTCCTTGGTCCCTTCTTATCAAGTTTAGAGGCAAAACCCTGAGTTGACAGCAGGTCCTCAAAATCATCCTCCTTCACCTTCGGCTTAGGGCCTGTGTTACATAACAGCACAGAGAAATTGAAGTCTGACATGGAAATTGTATGGAAATCAAAAGATGCAAGCAGAATTTATCATACAAGATGAAGCCTTTATGGGGAAGATTGGAGAACATCCCTTAAAGACTGAATGAAATCATGTCATGTGCTGTAGTTGCATGACAGAAGAACAGCATTAAAGCTCTTTTCTTTTTTTTCTTTTAAAAGTGAATGCTTGCGCAGCCGTTTCTCCAGTTTGGCTTTATTCCCAAAAAGAGTTATCATCACAATACAGAATGGAGAATTAACACAAAACTGTTCATAAATATCACAAAGTCCTTGTAGGTTTTTCATTTTCAAAAAAAAATTATCCCTAACAAATTCTTTCCCCATCTATTCATTGTCTCTTACCAAATCCCGGCCCGCGGACTCCTCTTTCCTCTCTTCCACCAATGACACTAGAGAAGTTGAGGTTGTAGTTGGGTTTGGTGGACTGTGGGCCTGCAGGCTGTGACGACGCTGAGGACGCTTTGGGTGCGGAGCCAGATCCTGATCCGGGCATCCAAGGTTTGCTCTGGGCTGAAGTGGGTCTTCCAGATTGCCAGGGCTGGGCTTGAGGCTTAGCAGAGGAGGAAGGAGCCTTTGTGCTAAAAGAAGGTCCGGATGTACCTGCAAGAAACATGAAGGAATCATAGTTATTTGAGATACATTTATAATTTTCTATTAAAGTGAAGTTTCTCTTTTAAGTGTGTTTTCCCGTTTTGGGATCACTGCTCACTGTCAGTGCAGTAGCAACATTACAGGCAAGTTGATATCGACCAGGTCTCTTACCTGGTAAATTGGAGCCCAGGTTTCCTA